GTATGTTTAATCAGATTCTTGGAAATAAACTTTCATTCTACTCCTGGATACTGAAAAAACTGGATATGTCCAAATATAATTTTCATATGGAGAGAGATTATATACTTTTAGGATTTTTAATCTAGTATCACCATTTATAGTAATTCTAAATTTTTTTCTATTAAAGAAAAATGCATATTTTTTGAGAAGTCAAGATGATTTCCGCCAAAGAAAAATGAAAGCATTGATGAGTATATTAATACAGAAATGGCTTCTTGGATACCTCAATTTGTAAGTCTTAGATTAACAACCAATTCCTTATTAGCAGGGAAATCGCTATTTTATGCTCCCAGGCATGATTCTTTTTATCCAGTGATTCCAATACTTGTATCTTTCCCTTATTAGCAAAAAATAATGTCATTAAAATCTTTTTTAAGGAGTAAAAGTGAAAGCCAGTAAGTTTTGGCTCCTTATTCGTATTCTTAGGTTGATAAGAAAAGCACCCCAACACCTGTTTTATTTCCCACTGCATCATTATTTCCAATGTTACAGTATCCTATCTAAAATCTAGCCTTTTCACTGTGGAAGTCCATGTTTCCCATTCCTTAATACTTTTTTTTTTTCTTCAAGGCAGAGTCTTGCTCTGTTACCCAGGGTGCAGTGCAGCAGCACCATCTTACTTCACTGCAATCTCCGCCTTCCAGGTTCAAGTGATTCTCCTGCCTCAGCCTCCTGAGTAGCTGGGATTACAGGTGTGCACCACCATGCCCGGCTAATTTTTGTATTTTTAGTAGAGATGGGGTTTCATCATGCTGGCTAAGCTAGCCTTGAACTCCTGACCTCAGGTGATCTGCCTGCCTTGGCATCCCAAAGTGCTGAGATTACAGGCATGAGCCACAGTGTCCAGCCTCATTCCTTAATCCTTTGTTAGAACCTTCTAGCCAATACATCAGAGATAGGTGTTTTAGACATTCAAAGGATTTTATGCACATTAAGGTCAGATTCTGACTGAAGGGAGGACCCACTGGGCACTCTTGCCCCACTAGCCAGACAGCAGGTGTAAAGACAGGGGCACATTTGGTGTGAGCCATGAGCAGCAGGCCACAGTAGCAGGCAGAGGAAGCTGGGTGCCCTGGACATGAGTGAGGGTGCTGGGTGTGTGCTGAGGCAACCCACGAGCTAGGAGCCGGGGAGAGGCTGGGGTGGCTGAGGGCAATTTTTTTGTTGTTGTTTTTTGAGATGGTTTTCCTCTTTTGCTCAGGCTGGAGTGCAGTGGCGTGATCTTGGCTCACTGCAACCTCTGCCAGGTTCAAGTGATTCTCCTGCCTCAGTCTCCCAAGTAGTTGGGATTGCAGGTGCCTACCACCACACCTGGCTAATTTTTGTATTTTTAGTAAAGACGGGGTTTCACCATGTTGGCCAGACTGGTCTCGAACTCCTGACCTCAGGATCTGCCGACCTTGGCCTCCAAAAGTGCTGGGATTACATGCGTGAGCCATGATGCCCGTCCAGGCTGATGGCTTTTAAGAACAGGAAAGCCTACTAAACAATGTGACAGTTTTTGCATTGCTCTCCTTAAGTCCCTTCCCTGTCCACCCCACATACTGAATGATTCTCTAGAACAATGTTCTCTAACAGAAATATGTGAGTCGCCCATGTAGTTTTAAATTTTAAATTTTCTAGGAGAAGATGGCCGTTTAGGAACAGCTCGGAGTTGCAGCTCCCAGTGAAAGCGCAGAGGGTGAGTGGACATCGCATTTTTATTGCCCACGGACCAGGAGATTCCCAGGCGGAGGAGCTCCATGGATTACCTGCGCGGCTGTTGTGGCCTGTGCAGTTCTTTTGGTCAGCGCGGCTGCTTTGCCCCGCATGGCTGCTTTGTCAATGCCCCGGGCAGTTCTCTGTACAAAACACACTGGTCTGGGTGCCCTTTGGACTGGTGATTGGAGACCCGGGAAGTCGCCCATTCATCTGATTAAAGAGGGGACTGAACAGGGCGCCAGGCCAGGAGATTCCTGGGCAAAAAAAGCGCCATGAATCTCAGCGCCACTGTTTAAGCTGGCACAGTGAGTCACCGCACGGGAAATGACACAGATCCCGGGGTGCCCTTTCAACAGGCGACTGGGATAGAGTAGACTTTTCAACTAAAAAAGAAGAAAAAGGCTCTGAGGCAGGGAGCCAGGTGATCAGGCTCGGTCCCACCCCCACAAAAGAACAGCAATCAGAAACTCTCTGGATTGAGAGTTTCACAGCAAGCGCAGCTGAACCCGGGATGGTCCAGCTCTGTGGTGGAGGGGCGTCCGCCATTACTGAGGCACTCCACCACTATGGACGCCATTGCTGAGGCAGCCTGCCGTTGCCAAGGCAACCCGCCATTGCTGAAGCTGCCTGTTGTTGCCAAGGCAACCTGCCATTACAGAGAGAGTCCGCCAATGGCAGGCCACCATTGCTGAGGCAATTCTAACTACACCCATATAAACAAGACTGCAGGGAAGTTCACAGGGCAGCTGGGCGGAGCCCACAGCAGCTCAGCAAAGCCTCTGCAGGCAGACTGTGACCAGGCTGCCTCCTTGCTGGGCAGGGCAGCCCTTCAAAAAAAAAAAAGGCAGCAGCACAATGGAAACTCATAAATAAAGCCCTAACTCCCTGGGACAGAGCACCTGGGAACATAAAGTGGTTTATGAGTTCTGCTGCAGCAGACCTAAACATATCTGCCCAGCAGCTCGGAATGAACAATGGAGCTCAAAGCTCAGCACCTGAGCCCCTATAAAGGACAGACTGTCTCCTCAAGCAGCTCCCTGACCCCTGTATATCCAAAGAGCCACCTCATAGGAGAGATCAGACTGATATTTGGCGGGTATCCTTCTGGGACAAAGATAGCAGAAGAAGAAACTGTTAGCAACCCTTACTGTTCTGCAGCTGCTACAGGTGATCCCCAGGCAAGCAGGGCCTGGAGTGGACCTCAGCAGTCCTACAGCAGAGGGGCCAGACTGTTAGAAGGAAAACTAAGAAACAGAAATAACTTCATCATCAACAAACAGAACGTCCACTCAGAGACCCAATCTGAAAGTCAGCAACTACAAAGATGACAAGAAGATAAATCCTTAAAGATGGGAAGAAACCAGCGCAAAAAGGATGAAAACACCCGAAACCAGAACACCTCTCCTCCTACAAGGTATCACAACTCCTCACCAGCAAAGGAACAAGGTTGGATGGAGAACGAGTGTGATGAAATGACAGAATCAGACTTCAGAAGGTGGGTAGTAAGAAACTTCTTTAAACTAAAAGAACATGTTCTAACCCAATGCAAAGAAACTAAGAACCTTGAAAAAAGATCTGATGAGATGCTAACAAGAATGGACAAATTGGAAAAGAATATAAGTGAATTGATGGAGCTGAAAAACACAACAC